ACTCAATAATAAGAATTCTCAAAACTCAAACAATTTGACTTAAAAATGGGCAAAGGACTTGAACAGATACTTCACCAAAGAGGCTATAAGGATGACAAACATGTGAGAAGATACCAACATCATTAGCCATTAGGGAAATGCAAATTAAAACCATGATCACATGCCACTACACACATATTAGAATTGCTAAAACGGAAAATAGTGACAACACCAGCTGGCAACCAGAACACTCATACATTGGTGGTGGGAATGCAAAATGGTACCCCACTCTGAAAAACTGGCAGTTGCTTATGAATTTATACATATACCCACTATGTGACCCAGCAGTGATATCCCAAACTGGAAAACAATCCAGATGTTCTTTAAAGGGTGAATGGATAAACTGTGGTACATTCACACAATGGAATAGTACTCAGTAGTAAAAAAGAATGATATGCACAACAACTTGGATGAACCTCAAAGACATTATGGGGCCGGCCCCATGGCTTAGCGGTTAAGTGCGTGTGCTCCGCTGCTGGCGGCCCGGGTTCGGATCCCGGTGCGCACCGACGCACCGCTTCTCCGGCCATGCTGAGGCTGTGTCCCACATACAGCAACTAGGAGGATGTGCAGCCATGACATACAACTATCTACTGGGGCTTTGGGGGAAAAAATAAATAAAATAAAATTATAAAAAAAGACATTATGCTGAGTGAGACAAGCTGGTGTCAAAAGGTTGTGAACTGCATGATTCCTTTTATTTGACATTCTTGAAAAGGCAAAACTATAGTGCTGGAAAACAGGCTGGTGGTTGTCAGGGGTTATGCATGAGGTGAGGGTTTATATAATGAGTAGTACCAGGGAGCTTTTTGGTTGTTGGAACCGTAATGTACTCTCTTTGTGGTGGTAGTTACAGAAATCTATACGTGTGTTAAAATTTATAGAACTGCTCACTAAAAGAAAAAAGTAGTCAGTTTTACCATATGATAATAAAAAATAGAATTATTTTTTAAAAGTCAGACTTCATTCTATTTTATGAATCTTTGTATGTGACCTTGTTTTTATTCTGTATTTTGTTTGGTTTTGATTTTTCTGTCCTCTCTCTCTGCTTTGGTGTCGGTCAGTTTCATCCATTGTTCTTTTTTATTTTTATTTTTTTTGTGAGGAAGATCAGCCCTGAGCTAACATCCGTGCTAATCCTCCTCTTTTTGCTGAGGAAGACCAGCTCTGAGCTAACATCTATTGCCAATCCTCCGCCTTTTTTTCCCCAAAGCCCCAGTAGATAGTTGTATGTCATAGTTGCACCTCCTTCTAGTTGCTGTATGTGGGACGCGGCCTCAGCATGGCCGGAGGAGCGGTGCGTCGGTGCGTCGGTGCGCCGCGGGAACCGAACCCAGGCCGCCAGTAGCAGAGTGCACACACTTAACCGCTAAGCCACGGGCCAGCCCGCATCCATTGTTCTTTATACTTGGTAAATCCTTTTGATTTGGAAACCCATGTTCTTCAGTTCTGTGAGTTTTCTTGATTTTTGTTGTTGTTAATTATTCCCCCCGCCCCATTTTCCTTGTTCTCCCTTGCTGATATTTTTCAGACATTGGACCTCTTAGCTTAGTTCTCTAATTTTCTCATATTTTCTCATTTTCTTTCTTTCCTCTTCTTTCCTTCTCTTCTTTATTTTCATCTTTTTGTCTATTTCTGGAGACTTAATTCTAAATTCTAAATCTCCTATAGTTTAATAACCACGAGTTTATTTTTTGTTCTCTGTTTTCTTTTGATGGTATCCTATTCTTGTTTCATTGTTGTAATATCGTCTCTTGATGGTAGTGTTTTTCTTCTTCCTGAATACTTGCTTTTTTATTTTGTTGTATATATTTCTCATTAGATGCTTTCCTTCAATATTTATTGGTCCTTTGCTTATGTTTAAGAGGAGGATGAGAACACTAATTGGAAGTTCATAGCATGTTGTGGGGCTTGTCAACTTTGAGCTTCACTCTTCAGCAGTCTGGCTGGGCTGTATAGTTGGGGAAGCCCCGAAGGCTGTATCATTGGATCTTTCCTCTTGGTCTGGTTGAAGTCCCCAGGGAGGGGACTCTTTTTGTCTCCTGCACGAGGGAAAGACTTGGTTCAGTGGAGGGAGAGGGCTGTGGGTCTCAGCACCCAAGATGCTCATTTAATCCCCCTATTTCCAGTCCAGTATCTTGTCCTTAACTGTGTCTGGGTATTGCCAATTGAGAGGCCTTCTGTTTTACCTTTTCAGGGAATAAATCTTTAGTGTTCCACCCTGGTGACAGGAAGGATCTGGGGATCTAATTGCTTCTGAAGCAGATTTTCAACCAACACTTATTTTAGCCAATCCCCTCCCCTCTTTCACTCCCACTTTCATAGGTATCTGGTGCTGCCAATTTGAGTCTTTCAGGGATTCTTCCATGTAAAATCAGATGGCTTCTTGTTTTATGCCTATGCTTAGCTTGCGATTCAGTTTTCTTTACTTGATCTGTATGAGTGAAAAAGTTCTAGGTCTAGTGAACAGAAGTCTGAAGAATCATCAAAACAGAGCTCTAGTCATGGCCTCTCAATCAGTTCCCACACTAAGTCAGTTTATAGATGCAGAGCCCCTTCAATAAAGGGGCATCGGGGTCACCTTACGAAAAGACCCCATTATGCAGCCAAAAATTTATACTGTTAATCTTTCTCCAAGACTTTTCCAAAGGGACCTGTGGCCATTTAACAGGGTCTGTGCAGTGGGGAAAGGGAACTAATCAGATTTGGGGGAGATTACTAGCCACTGGCTCTGAACTGACACTAATTCCAGGAAACTCAAAACGTCACTGTGATCCACCAGTCAGAGTAGGAGCTTATGGAGGTCAGGGGATCAGTGGAGTTGTAGCTCATGTCCATCTCACAGTGGGTCCAGTGTGAGAATCCACCCTGTGGTTATTTCCTCAGTTCCGTAATGCATAATTGGAAGAGACCTACTCAGCAACTGGTAGAATCCCTACATTTATTTTTCTTGGATTTGCTAAGTCATTTACTATTCATCAGTTTGCTTTCCAGGTTACAAATTTTATTGCTATCACCTCTTCCCTTTTGTTTTCCCTCTACTTGTGTGTCTATAACTTAAAAAAATTTTTTTATTGTTTTAGTGGAGTTCTGGTAGGGAATGAGTATGGTACGTATGTTGAGTTCCATCTTTACTTGCAACCTCTATCTATATTCTTTTGCTAGACCATGTTATACAGTCCCATGGCTTTGGAGACCATCTATAGCCTGGTGATCATAAATTTATTTCTCAAGCCCTACTTCTCTTTCCCCTGGAGCTCTCGACATGCATTTACAACTGCTTACTCAACTTTTTCTCCTAATATATCAAATACACATCTCAGATGCTCAGTTCCCAACCCTCTCCTTGAAATGCCTATTTCTCGTCCAGTCTTCTTATACTCAATTAATACCAGCCACCCACTTGCTCAGTCCAAAATCCCCTTCCTTCTTTCCTACATCAACTTCATCAGCAAGTCCTATCAGTTCTAGATTCAAAATATATCCAGAATCCATCCACTTCTCTCTATTATGGCTGCTACCCTGATCTAAGCCATTTTTATTTCTCACCTGGGTCTATGCAGTAACCTCCCAACTGCTCCCTGCTTGCACTCTTGCCCTGCTACAATCCACTGTCTACACAGTAGCCAGAGTGAAAATTTTGAATTCTGAATTAGGCCATGTGCCTTCCCTGATTCAAAGCCCTCAGTGCTGTTCCCCTGCACTTTGAATGGCGTCTATACTCCCTCTGTCCCCAAGGTCCCCGTGTAACTCTGACTTCAACTCCTGCCAATGTCTTCCTTGCTCCCTCTGCTCTGGTCACATACGCCTTTTTGTTCATCAAACACACCAAGCTCATTTCCTCCTTTGGGCCCTTTGCAGTTGCCATTTTGTCTCCCTGAATATCCTTCCCCCATATCGTCACATGGCTCACCCCTCACTTCACTTAAGTCTCTGCTCAAATAGCATCACCTCTGAGAAGCCTTCCCTGACCACCCTCTGCACCTTTCTCCCAGATTCCCCATTACTCTCTATTGCATCGTCTTATTGATTTCCTTCTGAAAGTATCTTGTTCTTTAACTTTGTCTTTCTCTAGCCGTTTGAGTATAAACCCTCTGAGGGCATTGGTCTGATCTGTCTGTTCTTTGCTGGTACCATCACACCTAGAGCAGAATCTGGCTCATAGTAGATAGATACTCAAAGACTGTTGGATGGGTGGGTAGTGGGGATGGGTGAATATATGCTTATTGAGTTCTACGCTGACTATTAGCATGTTCGCTCTTCTGGGACATCTCAGAATTGAGCCTTTATGCAGAATTTTTTCCCACCTTGACTGATTCTACTTAAGAATGCCTTTATGTGTCCCCCCTTTCTCCATACCAATAAATCTGTTTTAGGGCTGCAAATTTGAAGTCCCAAATAGCAGATTGCTGATCCTCTTTTCTGCTTTTAGCCAAGAAGTCACACCTTAAGCCATATTTTGTGCAGGAGCCTCGATGCGACTTTGGTGGAGGGATGACCGGTACACTTTCTCCCTCAGACCTCACTGAGTATGGTGCTGGATTAGAAATGAGAGATTGCAACTAGAAATTTAGCCCAGATGGCTCACCTCTCAGTATTAGGAGTCTGCTTTTGCTTTTCTGCTCCCTCCCAATCAGTCTTTTAATTTTAAACGTATTCTCTGCTGGCCACTGATCCTGTGAAAACTGAGAGTGAGATTAAGGCAGGGATGGGGAGGTCAGTCAGTTTCATTTCATCATCTTCAGAAAGGAGTTGAGAGGTTACAGATTGTGAAGCCTGCTTTGTCTCGTCACCAGCTTTAAATATGATGCCTTCCAGAGTCCACTTGCCCTTGAGTCATATGGCACTTAAGTATTTGTGGGTCCAGTTGTAAATTTCTTTTTCCTATCTAATGAAGTAGGGATGAACCCAGGAAATGACCCCTTTGCTTTTTTGTTTTCTCTCTGTTTTGTACAATTCAGGAGGTTCATCAAGAACGGATTGCATTGGAAAACCAATTGGAACAACTTCGTCCAGTCACTGTGTTGTGACTCCCAAGATTCAAGTAACAGTGGGTGACCTTTTCTGCCAAGGTCTTTCCTTTGAATATTTCAACCCAACTACTTGTCATAGATGTCTGAGACTGTGTCAAGAGCTGTGAGCAGTGGAATATAATCCATATCACCTTTTCTCTTTTACTTCACTTGTACGTTTTACTGTGGTGGAAAAAATACAACTGATTATCACACTTGAAATTGTAATTATCAGTGGAATTTATCTCCCATTCTTAAGTACTTCATCAAGGTGTTAGATGTTGCTCCTTACCAAAAGCCAGTCTTCTAGCAAATAAAAACAATTTAGAGAATTATTTATTTAAAGAATTTATGATTTGTACAAAACCTTATAACTCAGTACCTTCAGGATGCTTGTTTTATTTTTGTATGTATATCACTTACAGTAGGTTGGTTTCCTGAATAATTGAGATTCCAACTGGATAGTCTTTGGCATGATGAGAATAAAAACTAAAAGCAAAAGCATCAGATTTAGACTGGCACCGTGCCCTCCACCACTATATGCCAAAAATTACTTCTCTAGTGCCATTTTGATGTTATATCTAGCTATAAGTAATACATGACTGTTGTTTTCTATTGAATGGCAAAGACTTATTGGGTCTTTACTCCTCCATAGAGTGAAAGTTTTGTCAATGATATATTTAACTTGGCCCATCTAGACCATCAACCTAGATAACTCATTCCTTTCATGTAAATTTTTGGGCAAGAGAAATCTGCTTTAACTGCCTCACCCAATCAAATTAAATAAATAGTTGCCAGATCTTTACTCTTACCCTGCATGGGATAACATATCTGTAAATGCATGAATTTGGAAACCACTCATCAGATATGAAAGGCTGATGAGACTGTTTGGACTGATAAATATTTGTTGTTGAACCCAGGCATTGAAACTGAGGAAGAAGGGGAAATGGTTGTTACTAGCAATCCAACAATCTCTCGTAGTTATTTTTGTCTTTGTTATTTTAACCTGGATTATGAGTGTATTGGGTATGAAGAAATAATGAAAGCAAGCTGATCCTCACACTAGATATACGACTATTTTGTTCTCTGTAAAGTGTACCCTTGGGTAGTGATTGGTTTATGTACAGTCCAGAGGAGCCCAACTGACTCCAGTGTAAGTCATGTTAAATAGTAAACTCAAATTGCAGAAGCTATTATCCTATAGAAATTTAGATAGCAACTGCTTCTCCTGAAAGCTCAAGTTGAAAGTGGGCATTGCCTGACCCTCACAGGGATCAGGGCACACCAGCTTTAACATCACTTCGAGAGACTGATGGCGGGAAATGCTGTCTCTTGTGCATTTTGCTAATTTACCCATTCTTAGGACAGAGGGGCTGGGTGTGCCTAAGGTCCTTTTTGAAGTGGTTTAGGATAGGTTTGCAGTATGTGGGATTAAGCCTTTGATTTCAGTAGAGTTGACGGCTTTTAGAAAAAATAGGCGTTTATTTAATGCTTCCTTATTCCATTGGCAAGCTTTATCAGTAGCTTAATGGCAGAAGAGAAAGGCTCAAACAGAGGATGTTTTTCCAAAGAAAAACAAATAGTTGATTCTATTCTATACATATTAAAGGATTTTGAATTGATTTGATTTTGGAAATCACAAAACTTGAACTATTTCTCTATTGTCCTTTTCCTTCCCTTTTGGCTGCCTTGTTTTTGTCCCCATGGGAAGGGTTTGGAGTCAGTTTAAACCCTTCCTAAGATTACGAATGGGTCAGTGCAGATTTTTTAGGTAACCTGTTTTCCCATGTTCTGAGCTCTGGGGGCTGCAACAAATTTTATCAACAGTGTCCTTGTTGCAGACATTTCACAGCATGTTTGCCTTTTGTTACATTTGATCCAGGAAAGACTGGCATATGCACTTTATCTCATAATCTTCCAGTCCATATGCACTCACTCGAGATAGCACTTCATATCCATTAAGCAGACATACAAACTAAGGAATGTTAGTCTATATTATGCATTTTAAAAATATTGACACGATTTTTCCCCCATCAAGCCAATGCCAGAGTGAGCCAAATTAGGAGGTTTGAGTTTCGTTTAGTTGGCTTGGTTTTCATTAAAGGAAAAAACTTGCATTGGACAATCAAAGCCCCATGAGGTGCATAGTCTCACCAATGTTTTTTTTTTTCTTTTTGTGAGGAAGATCAGCCCTGAGCTAACACCC